AAGTTCCCTTCGCTTTATTGGCTTGCTGTGTGAACAGGGGTCTCGGAAGGCTCACACAAAGGCTACTCAGTGGCTTTGGGCAGAAATAGCGGAAAAAAGAAAAGGAATCTTAAGAAACTCAACCTGTTGGATTCAAAATCTGTTTTGTGGTTGTTATCTGAATGTACATGGGATTCACTAAACAACAAACAAAGCTTCTTAACATTTATCACTTTCCTGGCACATTGATACCTTTTGGGGGGTGTTGTCTCTCAATCTCTTGTAACCACTGGGTCTGAAATAAACTTCGGGGACTGGAGAGACCTGGGCAGGAGAGAAGATAAATCAAAGTGAGGCCAGGATCAAAGGGGAAGCGGCTCTGGGACCTTCAGGTGAAAGCAGAGCCATTGACTCCCCTGGGCTGCCTTTCCTGGTTCTCTCTTCAATAAACACCCAGGGCTCCCGAGCCGGGGCTGAGGGCAGCTTGGAGGGACCCACATGGACAACAAAGAGATCTGGGGAAGAGAGTACTTAGCACTTAGAGAGGAAAGGCAAGCCTTGGAGAGATTTGGGGGAGTCAGGAACATGGTGGGAAATGTTGAGGATACAGACAGGACTCCAGTCTCCCCAGCCAGGACTGCTCCAGATAACACTTTTTGTTAAGCTTACTGCTTTTCTTTCTTTCTTTCTTTCTTTCTTTCTTTCTTTCTTTCTTTCTTTCTTTCTTTCTTTCTTTCTTCCTTCCTTCCTTCCTTCCTTCCTTCCTTCCTTCCTTTCTTCCTTCCTTTCTTTCCTTTCTTCCCCTCCCTCCCTCCCTTCCTCCCTTCCTTCCTTCCTTCCTTCCTTCCTTCCTTCCTTCCTTCCTTCCTTCCTTCCTTCCTTCCTTCCTTCCTTCCTTCCTTCCTTCCTCTTATCCTCACCCAAGGACATTTTTCGATATTTTGTTCAGCTAGATTGGGAGGCAGAGAGAGAGAGAGAGAGAAACATCGACGTGAAAGGGACACATCGAGTGGTTGCCACCGCATGACCCAACCAGGGCCAGGGACAGACAGCAACCGAGGTACGTGCCCTTAGCGGGAACCGAACCCGGGTTTCTCTGGACCGCAGGCCGACGCTCCAACCGCTGAGCCAAACCAGCCAGGGCTTAAGCTTACTGCTTTTATATTTACTAGCTGTCCCTCATTATACAGAAAGTGGATTGTCTTCTATTTTACCATGCCGTCTCCTCATGTCTATTTCAACATACATTACTAACAGACCAAATATAAATCATGGCCAAAAAGTGGAGAGTCAGTGGCCCAGGTGTTGGTGAGGGGTCTTCAGCTAGCCCCAAACTTCACTAGGCTGTTCTGAAACTGGTACACCAACTACTTTGGTAGAAGAAAGTACTTATGGAGCCTGTTCAAAATGTACTTCAATTTCACAGATTATCTTTTTGGGGAAAATAACTTGCAATAATTGCTTTTTAAGATATTGCCAAGGATTGAGCTCTTTCCATTTTCCAACTTGGGATACAGTTAGAGAAGAATGAACAAATTATTCATTGTACATTTGTGGCAGGGTAGTTGATTAAGGAATCTAGAAATTGTATTTTGTGAAAACCCCTTAGGATTATATAGGCGTCTGTCAAACCAAAGAGAAGTGGAAAATAACTTAGATTTTGAGTTAGCATACATATCAGAGCTGTAGAGATCCCGTAGAGGCTTACACCTTCCTAACCCTAGTCAATGAAAACCCCAAGAGCCCGGCCACTGTGGCTCAGTGGTTGAGTGTCGACCCATGCATCAAAAGGTCGCAGGTTCAATTCCCGGTCAGGGCACATGCCCAGGTTGTGGGCCTGATCCCCAGTGGGGGGCATGTAGGAGGTGGCCAATCGATGTTCTCTCTCATCGATGTTTTTATCTCTCTCTCCCTCTCACTTCCTCTCTCTCTAAAAATCAATTAAAAAAACAAAAGTTTTACTTTAAATACAAAACAAAACAAAACAAAAAACCCAAGAGCATTGGGAAATCCAGTCCCATGGTGAAGTGATCTCTCTTTCTAGATTCATTACATTGTATCCTCTGCTTCAGTTTTTTTAATCCTCACTGAGGATATTTTCCCATTTATCTTCAGATAGAGTGGGAGAGAGAGAGAGAGAGAAACATTGATGCGAAAGGGATATATCAACTGGCTGCCTCCCAAATGACTCTGACCAGGGCCAGGGACCAAACTGCAACTGAGGTACATACCCTTGACCGGAATCATTGGTTCCCGGGGCGAATGCTCTAACTATTGAACCAAACTGGCCAGGGCTGCTTCAGTTTTTTAAATTAGTTTTTTTTTTAAGTTCAGATTTTACCAGTTTTCCCACTAATGTTCATTTTTGTTTTCTAAGGATCCAACCTAGAATGCCACATTAATGTACATTTAGTCATCAAAAAACTAGATTTTAAAAATGTACTTATAACACTAATATATGCACATAATTTTTTAAAATATTAAGGTAGCACCAAAGGGAATAAAATAAAGACCTTTCCCTCCCAATTTCAACTCTGGGTTTCCACTGTATATTCACCAAGGTTATTTTGAGGTACATAGAAGCATACACAATTAAAGCAAGTGTTTCTATGAGTTAGGTATTTCTGACCCAATTTTAAGCAAGACAAGAAGAAAAAAGGCTGAAACCTTATTGCAATATAGATTATAATACCACACAAACTCTCAGGAAAAGCCATAAAAACATAATGCTTGTTTAGTTAGTTTGGATAACTCTTGAGCCACAAACTGAATGCTGGAATTTCTTATCACCAGTTTAAAAGACACAGAAAAGACTGTGGTTCAAACATGGTTAGGCTGCTTCGTTAAGCTGCCCCCTATTTCCGTGTATGACCAGGCATGGCACTCATCTCTGCTGTTCCATTCTCCTGGCCTACTGCAAACAGACCCACTGGGGACCTCACCAGTGGGCACAGGAATGAGGCTTGGCCAGAGGACTCGGGAATTTCCACACAGGCCAGAGAATCCCCATGACTCTCTACCCTTGGCAGAGTTTCTGAGTTGCTGGACCATATCTGGCTGTTAAACCTCAGCTGGCAGCCAGCAGCCAACGGACTTCTGGTTTCCTCCGGGGGTTGGCTTCCTGGTCCCCATCACTACAGCAACAGAACTCAGGTCTGCCTAGATCTGGCTCCATCACCACTGGGAACCTAATGTGTTTGATGTGCCTGAAAGACTCCCCACCCCCACCCCCGCCAGGACTTCTTCCTGAGGTGGCAGGGAACTCAGCAGTGAACATGGAGTTGTGTCTGGAGGCTAGCTTGGCATAGTGATTTTGGAGTCATTGGGCTTATCTAGATGGTGGATAATTTCCTGATCTATAGAATTGGGTCAGAAATACCTAATTCATAGAAACACATGTAAAGCACGGCCTAGCACAGCGACACTTCAGAAATGGCTTTTGAGTTAATGAAAGAATAAATGAGCACAGTAAAATAGAGGATCTGCCCTCCCATCCCATACCCATTCTGCCTGAAAATTCCCAATGACCAGGCATAGGAATAAGGATGAAGGGAGAATGGAGGGAGAAAGAAAGAGAAAGAGGGGTAGAGGGTAGGGGTGGGTGGACAAACTGGCTGTGAATATTGTCCGGCTGCAGGGGCTGTGCAGGGGTCTGGGACACAGTCCCTGATACCCCCACCCCACCAGGAGAAAATCAGGCACAGAACTCCTCCAGAAGCCCCAAGAATCCTTCCTGCTTTGACAGATGGGATGTTCACTCGGGGTGAAAACATCCAAGCTCTTCCTAAGGTTGTCTTGTAGCATTCTAGAATGGATGGCAATAGGACAGAGCCCCCTTTGAGTCATGGACAGTGAATGGTCCCAGTGAAATCAGGGCTCAGGTTTGGGGAGCAGGGAAGGCCTGATCTTCTGAGTTCCTCTCCTGAGGACTTGAACTGGACCACGTGTTTCTCTTTCTAGCAAGTGAATTCAGTGAGAGCTCATTTGGCCTTGCTCTTGGAGAGTCTAGCATGGTGCCTGATGCAGTAGATGTACAAAATAGACACTCCATAGACTTCAACGAGAGAAATGGCTTCCTGCTTTCTAAGACTTGATAATCCAGGAGGGGACACAGAAACATAAATCATAACCACACTACACATCAGGATATAACGGGACCCTTAAACAAGGCCCCAAGGGCAGGGACAAGAGGGAGTGGAAACTTCACTGAGCCCCTTTTCATTTTATCCCTTCCGGCCAGGAGCATCTTGAGCATAATTGGGGCCTCCAGAAAGGCCGAATCATGCATTTGCTAAATATGACCACGTTCTCAACCCTGTGTGTCTAAGAAATCCTTATTCCTAGGCCCCACCGACATTCCAGGCAAAATGGTCGCCTCCCCTCCTCCACTTCCCCGGGGTGAGCTTACTGCTCCCTTTGAGGTCCCTTTATCTGTACCCCCTCCTTCTGATTCAGGATGTGTCAGGGAGGCTTGCGGAGGTCAGGGGCTGGACTGTTTGACCAGCCTGGTACAGGGTCTAGCACATAGCAGGGGTGGGTAAATAAATACCTTTGATGATGACAGGCAGGACAGCGGGCAAGGCTCACCACCAAGTTGGGCGAGAGATAGGCCGGCCCAAAGCCCGTCGCGTCTGAGTGGGTGACCTGACCCCTGGGGGAGGGGGACATTCTCGGCCCGCACCAGCCCATGCAGTTGGGCCCCTCTGGCCGCCCTTCCCAGAGCAAACCTTCCCTGGGGATGTTGATTGCCCTGGAGGGGCTGGCGGGGCGGATGGACAGGGGAGGGGCCGGGAGGGGGCCTCCGGGCCCAAGTTCACGCCTCCCTGCCTGCATCCCACGGCCAGCGGAAGCGATTATTCCCCACCGGTGTCTGGCGGGGCCATGGGCGGGCTCACACCCCAAAGAGCCACGGGCCTCACTGCGTCTTTGATCGTCCGCCACCCTGGCCCCCTCTCTTGGCCCTGGGGCCCGTATAATTGTAACCCGTGCCCCTCCCGGTGGCACACTGGGGCTGGGCAGCGATGGCCGCAGCAGGGTCCCGCCAGCTCCAGTTCGGGAACAGCGCCACGTTCCCGTCGTACCGGCCCACGTACGCCGGCGGGACGCTCCTGCCTCCTCCGAACCCCGCCACCGCCCTGCTCCCCGCGAACCCCTCGGGCAGCGGCCCGGATCGCGGTGCCCCTGCCGCCTTCCCCGGCTTCCTGAGTAGGGGCCCGGGACCCACTGCACCGCCCCGCGCTGGCTCGGGCCCGCCTGCGCCCCCCAAAGGTGCGGCCGCTCCGTCGGCGTCACAGCGCCGCAAGCGCACGTCGTTCAGCCCCGAGCAGCTGCAGCTGCTGGAGCTGGTCTTCCGCCGGACCATGTACCCCGACATCCACCTGCGCGAGCGCGTGGCCGCACTCACCCTGCTCCCCGAGTCCAGGATCCAGGTGAGCGGGGGGTCGAGCGCCTGTGCGCCCTGGGTGGAGGCCCTGGGGTGAGCAGCCAGGATTCTCAGGGCAGCACTGCGGGGCCGGCTTAGGCACCTGGTTTTTCGCAGGTGACTTCCCTTGAGCCTCAGTGTTAGATTGTAAAATAGGGACAATAGCAGTACCTATTGCACAGGGATTTTGTGAGGCTTAAACGAAATAACTCAGGTGCACAGTCAATGACTTCAGCCTGTAATTGTTAAGTATAATAAGGACGCTGGCTGGTCCCTTGAAATGGTCGGAAAGTAAATTCTCCGCCAAGGTGACGGGAAGTATTTTCACACTTTTTCCTGGAAAAAGAGACAATGAGGCACAGTTGGGGTTTCCTCCGGGAGGAGAATGGTAGCTAAGAAAGAGCAGGGCCGACTCACCAAGTTACACCTGGGCCCGTAGGCCACTTTCTTGGCAGGTATTGGGTCTGGAAGTTTGGTTCAAAAGGATGTGGTATCTTGGGGTAAAGCTGGAAGTAATTGAGTTTGTCACAATTAGAAAAATCTAGTGCGAGGTGCATTTACTGCTTAATTGAGATCAGAATCCTGGAATGTGTTGGTAATGAGAAGCATGTCTTTTTGCCTGCTGGTTTGTAGCACCTTGGTCCAAGTGCAGTTTTAAGTAGGAGTGCTCATTTTAACACTGGGAGAGAGTGGGCTTGTTTTTCTGCATCCCTGGTGGAATACATCTGTCAGTTTCAAAGTTGACACAGAGGCTCATAAGCAGGATGCTTTCAGTATTTGTTGGGAAATAGCAGATAAGTGACTGAGCACAATACTTCTTTGATTACTTTAACAAGGGAGTATATGTACTCTTCAAATTTGATTTTCTAAATTATTTTAACATTTGTCTTCTTGAAGCATAGTAGCATTTTTCCCTCTCAAATGCCAAGTGCTTCTATTTCTGGACCCTATTGTGGAGCAGGGAGCCAGGGCATATTAATCTGGAATTTATAAACTATGAAAGTAATAGTAGCATAAGGACTCCAATCAAAAGCAGTTTTTCTGTTCCCTCTCCCAGGTGTGGTTCCAGAACAGGCGTGCCAAGTCACGGCGTCAGAGCGGGAAATCCTTTCAGCCCTCAGCGGGGCCCGAGCTCTTCCTCCACCACTCTGCTCATGGAACTGAAGCGAAATGTTTGAAGCCCCAGCTGCCTCTTGAGGTAGATGTGAACTGCCTGCCAGATCCCAATAGGGTTGGAGGGGCCAGCTCTGACCCTAGCTCCCAAGGTCAGAATTGTGAAACCTATTCTCTCCCTGAAGATATTGGTTCGAAGCTGGACTCATGGGATGAACACATCTTTTCTGCCTTTGGTAACTCTTGAGGATTCTAGAATTCATGATAAGCTCAGAGGAGCCATGACTGACAGCCAGGGAGACACATCAGAATACTGTCCTTCCTGGCTTCCATGTTAAGGGCGTATCCATGTTAATCTTGATGATGGTTTTGACAGTCATCTGTCACCTGTGGAGGTTCCTCCCCTTTGCCTCTGAACTTTGCCTAGGCCCAATTTTTTCTCTGTAGCACCCCCTTCCCCCCCCCAGGAGTTCTGATTTTCTGTACATCTCCAAATCTGTGCATTCAACTTGGTCTCCGTCCCCACGTCTTCTTGCCAGTCCTGTTCTTAATTTTTTGACTGGTTTTTCAGAACTCATTATCTTCTTCACAAGAATGCCTCAACTTGATTCCGTTTCTCCTTGTGTTTGACAACTGCTCTTTTCACATGCTTCCTCAAAGGTTTATAACCTTAATCCATCTCCTTCAATCTTTATCCTATCACCAAGATTTACAACTTTTTAATTTGGCCTATCATCTTTACACTCAGTTGTAGCTCCAATGATTCTGTGTCCAGATTATTTCAAGAACTCTCTGCCTCTAGGTTCTCAACTTCTAAAAAATTACCCTCTTTAGATCAGATGAGTACATTGCAAAATAGGAGTAAATTTTTAAACTACTAAATTAAAACAGAGTTGTGTGGTTTTTTAAGTTGTTAAGACAACAAGTGTCAAATACTTTATAATTTAACAAACAGATCTCTGATTTAAAAAACCCGATGTATAGCTTTTTAAAAAATAAAGCTAAAAGTTGATTAGAAAAAAAGCAAATTAATGCAAAAGTGGCAATAAAGAGCCAAAGAGCCAAATATTCTCAGGACCAAATTAAAATAACTATAAAAAAAATTCATTGATTTAAGCCACATATCCAAAAGATAATAAAACCGCATGTGCAAAAGTAAAAATAAAAAAAAAAGTCTCTTTAGAAATCTGTAGTAATCTCCAATTACTACCAAATTATAAAAACCTTCCATTACCCTCCCAGATAAGTGACATCTAGAACCTACAGAGCAGTTATGCAGATCTTCTTAAGGTGACGCATCCACAAGTTATGCCTGTCTCAAAGCTCCTCCTTTCAGTTTTTGGAACCAGACAAATACCTTGCAAAAACATTGGAGACGCCCTTCTTTCTGAAGTCTGAAACTTTCTCTAATCCCAATTTTGTACCTGTTAATTCAATCACTCCAACATTAAGTACCCTTAGCACTTGTTACTGTACTTCTATGCAACTTTACTGGATTATTAAATGTTTCCCACAAATGTTTCATTGTAATTCTATTGAAATGAATTCTGTCCTTTAGACAGTGTTTTGTTCCACAGTTCAGTATACATTATGTGACCATGAAAAACGTTTCTAAAAGGAAAAAAGTCTCTGCAAATGTAGTTTATAGCCAGTAATCTTATATCAGCAGGTCACTGTGCTGAGAACTTTAACTTGGTTAAAAGCATATCTTTGGCTTGTTCAAAGTTTAATCGCATGAGTCTTTTGGTTTTAGGATATTTCTCTTTGATAATTTACATATTAATAATGTATATAAATTACTGTTTCCAAGTTAGCCTGAGATAAATTATTGTTTTGTTATTTAGAGGATTTTCAAACTCCTGAGGGCCAAAGGAAACTATATGAGGGAACCAGAGGTGAAGTTTCTTTGTAAACTGTGCTTCGGAGAAGGTTAATGACAAGCCATGGTTAGGGCCAGGACTCATGTTTGATGGTTATTAGAAGAGTCTGAGCTATGTTGAATGTCATAGAGATTATACATGCCAGTTGCCCTAATATTCATAGAGGTGTTATTCACATGGCTTGCACTTTCCACAGTAGCAAATCCACTATTAAAAGCAACCAGGACATAATTCAGCCTTTAGTAGACTTGACTTCTGAACTTTGAAAACTATCTGAAACCACAAATGAGATTATAAACATTAGCAGTTATTATTTTAAGTGTTGGCTATATGCCAAACATTGTGCTCAATGGGTAGCCAGGTCTCACAAAGCTTCCTTTGCATTTAGACTGGTGACATGGCCAAATGAGATACATTCACTGAAAGACATACCACTTTATTTTTTAATACGTTTTTATTGATTTTTTATTTTTACATGTTTTTATTGATTTTGTTAGAGAGAGAGGAAGGGAGAGAGATAGAAACATGGATGTGAGAATGAGAGAGAAACATCGATTGGCTGCCTCCTGCATGTCCCCCACTAGGGATCAAGCCTATAACCCAGGCATGTGCCCTGATCAGGAACCGAACTGGGACCTCTCAGTCCATGAGACAACATTCAATCCCCTGAGGCACACCAGCTGGGCAAGACATAACACTTTAAACTTATAGTATACTAAGGATCCCATTTAAAAGTAAATCTTGTAATTAGCTTATTAATTATATTATTGCATTTATATTATTATGTTGTTTTCCCTAGGGAACAATTTAAAGAATTTTGTTACATTTTTAATTTTTTTTTTTTATTCCTCACCTGAGGATATTTTTCTACTTATTATCAGATAGAGTGGGAGGGAGGGAGAGAGAGAGAGACAGAGAGAAACATTCATGTGATAGAGCTACATCGACTGGTTGTCTCCCGCACAACCCGACCAGGGCTGGGGACAAACTACAACTGAGGTACATGCCCTCGACCGGAATCGAACCTGCGACTCATTGGTCCTCAGGCTGACACTCTAACCACTGAGCCAAAATGGCTAGGGCTACATTTTTAATTTTTAAAAATTGTAGGATTATCTAGTCTCCGGCTCTTTCAAATGCTTAAGAAACCCTAATGGCTAAATGTGTTACAGGCATTATATGTTTAGTCCTCACAATTTCCAAATAAGGATAAGGATTATTATTTTAAAGATCAAAAAACTTAATTTAAGTAGTAGTTCACAACCACAAAGCTAATAAATGACAGCCAGGACTCAAACCTAAGACTAACTCTGTCCATATTAATCAACACCACCCTATAATGCCTCCTATATTGGCCTGGCCTTTTTAATCTGGACTAATGATAACGTCAGAGGTTTAAAGGCAACCCCTTAATCAGAATTTCTACATCCAACTGATTACTGTCTTGTCTTTCAAAGCAATCATCATGAAAGACCATACTTTTATTCCAGTGACACTAATGTTGCTTAAAGCTCTCTTGAAACTGTTGTTTATTCATTCCACAAATATTTGGTGCCTATGAATAGAGGCTTTACCAGGGCATGGAAATAAATGAGAAAACCAGAAACAGTCTTTCCTCTCCTTGAGCAAAGACGACGGTATGGACACAAAAGAAATATAAAATTGCAAATGTGACATGTGCTGGAAGGAAAGGTACATGAGGACCTAGAGATGTGTTGTAGGATGATGAGTGTTACCAAGGTCAAGAGGAGAGGTAACAAAGGGGGCACTGCATGTGCAAAGGACCTGTGGAGTAAGGAGTAGGACTGAGAAATTGGTAGGGCAGGCCAGGCCATGCATAGCTTTGTAGGTCTTGTGAGAGTTCTGAATTTGTCCTGAGAGCCCTAATATGTCCTGAGAGCCCTAATATGACCAATTTTGCATTTTAAAAATATCACTTAATGATGGCTGCACTTGAGAATGGCTAAGTGAACAATGGGAGATGATAAATTAGGAGACAACCTCAGTGTGCCAGGCTAGTGATGATGGCAGCTGGGCAGAGTTGTAGTGATAATGCAGATAAAGAAAGGCACATGAATTCAAGGAAAAATATTTAATAGGTAAATCTTTTGTTAGATTCTGAATGGTAGCAAGTGAACCTGATTTTTTTTTTAATCCTCATTCGAGGACATTTTTGCATTTACCAACCGGGGCCGGGGACAAACTGCAACTGAAGTATGTGCCCTTAGCAGGAACCGAACCCGGTCTCTCTGGTCCGCAGGCCGACGCTCTAACCACTGAGCCAAACTGGCCAGGGCTGAATTTGATTTTTGAACTGACTTAAAGTAAGTCAGAACCAAATCTACCTAATATATGATGTGCTTGCTTGTTTGCTCAATCTGGCTTTGACAGCTTTCTTTAGAGCTCCAAGAAGGTGTCCAGCAGTGGCAGCACCGTTCAAATGTACAACTGACCCAAAATGACTACTTTGGATTACACTGATTTCTTCTTCCCAAAACAGAAATAAAATTCAAATATATTCTTAGGCACAATTCCTGCTGTCAACACATGATGGCACTGAAAGACATCGACAGTACTTAAACATGTGCAAAATGAGGTATAATTTAAGTGTGACAAGTAAGCCTTAAGAAATGTAAAATGTAAAAAAGTTAAAAAAGACTTATCTAATGCTAGACAGACTGTATTAAAATTGACCTTTCACAGGTCTATAGTAAGCCAAGTAACTTATTTGCTTAGTGTTTTCCACAGTGATTTACTCAGGGATGGAAAAAATTCCTCAAAACAATATTGGATGGTACTGTAAGTCAGAATGAGTTGGTAATTAATCTGTACTGTTTCCCCTAAAAATAAAATTTAATAGAAATTACAATTCTTTAAAACTTCTTAAATACAAGGAATACTTATCAACTTATATTAAATGAAAATGTAGACAATGTTAATTTTCATAGATCAATTTATTTAGAATTACAAATATTAAGAATAAAAGATTTATGCTTTTCTTAATTAACATAACAGTTGAGCTAAATATAAACTCTGCACTAAAGTTCTGCAGGGGCACAGAATATGGAAGCATTTTTAAACTATACAAAAATTTCAAATGGAAAATAATCTTGTTTCAGTTTTATTATACATTAACATATAAAAAGTCTCATTTTATGAGACATCTAAAAGAATTAAAGCCACTTCTACAGCTATATCTTAAATTCCAAATCTGAAAACAATTTATTATATTTTGACTTTATAATATTCTATATTAAAACAAAGAGAATTCCAAATACACATTTTTTACAAGATTAATATTTTAGGCAGGATTTTCCTTAAAAAACAAAACAGAAAAACAAAACCACAACCAAATACAAACTTTTTTTCTGTATTTCACAGCACTGGTTATTATATGTTTTCTTTATAAAAACTTTTTACTTTACAAATGGTATACTGTTGAGTTTTAACCAGTAACCTGGTTCACAAGTTGTGCAAATAAACAAAAAAATATGAAAATAGTGTGTTATCAGTCTTTTCTTTTTTAATAAATCTCATAACAATAGCACTTTTTGCCCTGAATTGACGGGAAAAGACAAGCCAAATCCACTCGCTGAAACTCAGCATTTTGCAAGTAAGTTTTTTTTTCCTGCTCCTTCATTTTTTTTCAACAGACAAACAAAAGTTTCTTTTATAAATTATGATAAATTAAAATATTTATTATAAAATGATCTACAGAACCATGTCACATTGCAAGTATATACTATATATACTTGTACAGTCCATATTTCCCATCTATATTCCAGTGCCTTCCTTCAAACTAGGACTTCCCATATTTCATGGTGTTTTTTTGAAGACTGAGATGGTGATCAACTAAATGAACTGGAGCTGTCGTTTTCTAGATGGAATTTCCATATTGCCAGGCATGTGCACAAAAAGACTGTGTCTTCGTGTTCTCCACTACAGTTGTCTGCATGTGTAGGGCTGAATTCATGCACATTAAAAAAATGGTCAATGTATTCCTCCATGAAATTATGTTCAGACATCTTTAGTTTAAAAACTACTTGCTAATAAACATGTAACACAAGCAATGATACTGCAGCTGAATAATAAAAGAAAAATAAATATAATGATGGTCAGCAATGCTGGTTTAAGAAGCAGTACAGTATATTAAAATGCCTTATTTGGAAATTTAAATTTCCCTTGTTTCCAAGCAGTTAGGTTATTTGGTGTTGGAAGCCTATATAAAGGAAAAGAATTTCTTGAAAATAATGTCCTATGCAGCTGGAATAACTAAATCTTCTACTCAGTCTCTGTTGGTGTTGTTTGCTGCAAAGGCATGTAAGTTTCCCATCTGGCTCAGGCCGCTCTGAATATGTGCAACATGGATTTCTACATTATTCTGAAAGCAACTAAGAAAGAAGAAACATGGTTAACTGTTTTATTTCACAAATTAAAAACAATTTTTTTAAAAAAGAAGAGCTGAAATGTTAGTTATGAAATAGCTAAGATGAGGATCCAGGGAAGAAATAAACCTCCCCTTCACATTAGCCCTAATTCTACGTCAGAACTAATTAAAAGTATACGTGAAAGAAGCAAGAAGCCAAAGAGTGCTGGAAAGACAATGGACCTCTTTGATTGGGGAATCTCTACTTCTAAGTTGAACCTCCAGCTAAACCATAACCTAAATATTACAGGTCTTCTGATTTCTTTATATAAAAACTCCATGTAAAGTTTCTATTCTATCAATAGACTAGATATAACCAAAGAGCTTTTTACAATTTATTTAAAGAATACAAATTATATAATACTTTACAAATATGCATATTTCTTAAAACTGGTACTGGAAATCACTATGAGTGTGATATAAAAATGATTAGGGTATATCTAATGAATTACCTGATGTTAGAAGCATCTATTGTACTCTTGATATCATTCAATGAATCTGTAAGTGATTTGAATTCGAAGGAATTCAGGTCTCCTCCTTCTGCTAGACACTAAAGGAAAAAGATATTTCAAAATTTAATTGAATTATAGTTCAACTACAGACAAGAAAATAGGGGAGATAATCTATGTATTATAATTTTTTTTATCCTTACCATTTATCATCACATAGAGTGGGAGTAAGGGAGGGGGGGGGAGAGAGAGAAGAGAGACAGGGAGAGAGAGAGAAACATCTATGTGAGAGAGACACATCGACTGGTTGCCTCCTGCATGACCCTGACCAGGGCCCGGGACGAACTGCAACCAAGGTACATGCCCTCGACTGGAACTGAACCCGGGACTCATTGGTCTGCAGCCCGACGCTCTAACTGCTGAGCCAAACTGGCCAGGGCTGTATTATAATTTTTTAGCAACAAATTAGCATAAGTCATTTAGGTGTCAAAATTAAGAAAACATTTTCTCTGAAATTTACCTTAATTTGCAATAAAATAGCTGTAAGCCTTGAGATAAGGTCTGTCAGATTTTTATTTTCAACACAGGGCTGTCCTGTTGAGGAATTTGCGTGCCGAACGATTTCCTGTGCTTCTTCCTCACACCTTCGTCTCATATCTGTAGGCTGATCTGCAGGCTGGAGCCCCTGGTCTGGAGCAAGCTGAATATGAGGATTGAAACACAAGATGTAAATTCATAAGGCCATATAATCTGTGTACTTGTGTCCTGTTTCCAGATTTAAATTTTTACAAAACTAGCATTTATAACAAAAAAGATGTGCACTGTTACCTTAGAAGTCTTTTTTTTCCTATAACAGTTTTCTAAAGAAAACAGAATAAACACTCTAGATAACCTTTTACCCAGATTCACTGTTTTATAGCTTATTCCATTTCACTTAACATCTGATCTCTTTCTGTTTGTGTATCTATAATTATTTTCCCTTATACTCTATATCCCTAAATACTCTTATTTCCTAAGTACAAGGATATTCTCTTACATTAGAATAGTGCAATTGCCCTGCCAGTTTGTCTCAGCGGTTTGAGTGTCGGTCTGCAGACCAGAGAGTCCTGGGTTTGGTTCCCACTAAGGGCACATACCTTGGTTGCAGTTTGTCCCCGGCCCTGGTTGGGGTCGTGTGGGTGGCAACCACTCGACTGTCTCTCTCACATCGATATTTCTCTTTCTCTCTTCCTCCCTCTCGCCCTAACTGAAGATAAATGCAAAAATGTCCTCGGGTGAGGATTGAAAAAAAAAGAGTAGTGCAATTATCACACTCAGGAATTTAACATTGATGTAACACCATTTTCTAACAGTTCACATTCAACTTTCTTAACTGACTCGATGATGTCCTACACATAACTATCTTCCCTCTGGATATATGTGGTTGTCATGTCTCTCTAGATTCCTTTATAAAACTGGAACAGTTCTGTAGACATTCATGACCTTGCTATTTTTTAAAAGTACCAGCCAATTATTTTGTATAATATTCCTTAATGTGGGTTTGTCTGTTTCCTCATGGTCACACTTAGGCTCTGCAGTTTGGGCACTTGATGTTGATCTGTCCTGTTACTGTAATGTTACCTTTGATCACTTGGTTAAGGTAGTTAAGTGTCTGCCCGATTTCCCCACAGTAAAGGATTTCCCCCTTGGTAATTAATAAATATTTTTTGAAGAGATATTTTGAGGCTATGTAAAGATTCTGTTCCTCACCAAATTTTTACCCATTAGTTTTAGCATCTATTGATTGTTTTTACTAATTATTACTACGATGGTTGACAAATGGTGTCTTCCTCATTCTTATCATTCTTTCTACATTTATTAGTTGCTATTTTACTATAAGAACTTTTCCTTCAAAATAGTTAATATTAGTGGACTCTTGGATCTTATTTTATTCAATGAGCTATAATCTCTTATTATAACTACTTATATTGAAGTTCAAATTGTCCCAGATTTGGCCAGTGGGGGTCCTGTTGAGCTGGTTCCTTATGATATGTCCCCATAATTTGGGGGGCACATTTTACTTCCCTGACACAATAAGATGGTCCAGGCTCATCTTCTATATTCTCTGTCCTAGCTCTGGATTCAGTCTCTTTTCCAAGGAGTGCTGCTTCCTCTTATTAGAAAACACTAATTTGGGTGCTAGGTGTGCTCAGTGGTACAAGGGTGTCATGGCTCTAGGCTCTCTCAGTACACATCCACACTCACTTATATCCATATTATGAAAATAAAATGAACCATGAATTCATTCGATTCTTCCTATTCTAGTTTAATACCACAGGGGGCGTTCTAGTCTTCCTCTTCTTCATAAGTCCTTTCTCCAACAGGGAGGGACCTAGCTCCCATTATTCTCAATATACTTATTTAATCATTTGCACAATCCTAGAAGACAGAGTTTCAGAATGGCTAATCCTTTATTACTATGAGAGAAACCCTACTAACTAGAGTTCAATATTGCTTTAAAGTTTGGTTTACCTTTAGACTAAGGATATATAGTCAAAACACTATGTTAAAGTTATTTGGGCCCTGGCCGGTTTGGTTCAGAGGTTGGAGCATCGGCCTGTAGAACAGAGAATCCTGGGTTCGGTTCCCTCTAGGGACATGTACCAATAAATAAATAGATAGATAGATAGATAGATAGTTATTTGGATTCCTCTTTGCCCCCTTCAGAGTGTTTATGCTATTCCTTTGAAATATAATTAGGCTCATTTGTTTGTATTCTGTTTTAGAGCTTATCTTTATTTGTTGGGGAAACAAACATTTACAGAAATGTCACCCCTCCTCACTCCTCCATCCCTACTCCATTCCCAAATCAGTTTCTGGTTTATCGTTCTTGTGTTTGTTTTTGAAAAACTAAGCAGATGCATGTATATTTTATTTCTGTTTACCACAAAGGTAACACACTATATATACTTTTATGTATTTTACGTTTTTCCCTTTTTATTAAGCCAAAGAAAGTTTATTTGAAAGACAGACTCCCTGCAGTGGGGAGGGGACCCAAGTGGGTTTGCCCCTATTTTTTCACTTAATATATCCTGGAACACTCCATATCGGTAAATAGAGAGTTTCCTGGTTCGTTCTCATAGTAGCACAGTGGATACACCATATGTTATTTAGTCAATCCCCTGTGTATGGGCATTTAGGTTTTATCCAATATTTTGCAATTACCAGTAATGCATTTGCAATGACTAGCTTTGTCTTCTAACACTTTAAAAACATTTTTTTTCTTCTTTATTTAATTTTAGAGAGAGAGGAAGGGAGTGGGAGAGAGAGATAGAAACAATGATGAGAGAGAACATCAACTGGCCGCCTTCTACATGCCCCCCACTGAGGGTTTGGCCCACAACTTGGGCATGTGCCCTGACCAGGAATTGAACCAGTGACCTCTTGGTGCATGGGTCGATGCTCAACCACTGAGCCACATTGACCAGGCTGTCCTCTAACAATTTTTTTTTTTTATCCTCACCCGAGGACATTTTTCCTTTTTTTTTTTTGTTCAGGTAGAGTGGGAGGGGGAGAGAGGAACAGAGAGAGAGAGAGAAACATCGACGTGAAAGGAACACATCGAGTGGCTGCCACCCGCACGACCGACCAGGGCCGGGGACAAACTGCAACCGAGGCACACACCCTTAGCGGGAACCGAACCCGGGTCTCTCTGGACCGCAGGCCGACGCTCTTAACCGCTGAGCCAAACCGGCCAGGGATGTCCTCTAACACTTTCTAAAAAAATTTTTAATTGAAGTATATACATCAATACATAGAAGTTCACAAATTATAAAATGAATTTTCACAAATCAAACATTCCTGAGACATCAACATCTAGATTAAGAAACAGAACATTACCAGACCCTCAGAGGCCCTCCTAATGCCATCTTCCAGTATAATACTCCAAGGGTAACCACCATCTTGACTTCTAGCATCATAGATTAGCTTTTGCTCGCTTTTGAGCTTTACATAAATGAAGTCATGCATTATACATATTCTTTTGTGTCTGACTTTATCTGTTCAACATTATATTTTAAGTGAGTTTATCCATGTGTTACATGTAGTTGAGTTCATTCATTCTCATTGCTAAGTAATATTCCATTGTATAATTTTATTACAGTTTATTGATTGATGGGCATTTGGGTGATTGCTAATTTTTGGCTATAATGAACAGTTATGCTATAAACATTCTAGTGTATCTCTTTTGGTAAATATTCACACATATATTAGGTATATAATTAGGAGTATATATCTTAGTCATAGTGTCCTCTCTGATATGTTCTTATATTAAATCAATATTATATTTCCACAAAAATATTCTGAAATTAAGTAATTTTACTTCATTAGAAAATGAGCCTATCACAAATGGCCTTATGTACACAATAAAATTATACAAAAAGAGTGATGGGCAATCCACTTCTGCATGTATCATCAACTTTGTTATGTATCAGCTTGATTTGCTTGGTTTGCACCTCCTGTGGACAGTTGCTAGTCCACAGGGAGAAATCTATTTGCTAGGACAACACATTTTGCTATGTAGGTAAGTGATAATTACCAGGAAAATAAAAGTAAATGATAATTGATGCCTAGAGGAATGAGTAACATATACTCAAGAGTTAGTTGTAGGTAACCATAGTCCACTTGACTCAGTTCAATTCTAGTGCACTGACAACATCACCTATGGCAGATCTTTGGGATTTATTTATGAGGCTAGTATCCTAAAAAGCTAACTGTTTAACAATCTTATAACACAAATAAAGGTGACTTACTGGAAACATAAAACCTCTAAGAATGCAAATTCAAGAGCATTCTAAACTCAACTCAATTTCTCAATCATGTAATTAAAATTTTAGGTGAAACTGTTGAACCACATTCATATATATATATAATTTTATGTGCATGATAATCACAATTCACAAATAACCCTATGATTCATGTGTCTGTAGTTCAACAATCCACAGTTCTAATGTAAAGTTTAAAGGAGGAGGAAACAAAATTGTATACACAGCATGATCATAACTTAGTGAGAAAAAAATGTATATATATAAAAATATAACACTAAGGGAAAATAACTCAAAATATAGTCTCTGGGGTAGTGGAATTAAGAGTAATTAATGGCTGGGTTGCTCAGTTGGTTGGAGAATTATCCCAATACACCAGGTTGCCAAGGTTGTGGGTGTGATCTCTGGTCAGGGGCACATGCAGGAATCAACCAATGAATATAGGTAGAACAACAAATTGATGTTTCTCTCTCTCCCCTCTTCTTCTTTTTCTCTAAAATCAATAACAATTTTTTAAAAAGGTAATTATTTTTCTAATTTTTTTTTGAGAGCTGTATCAGTTGTAATCCAAACAAACAAATAAACAAACAACAGAATTGATAGCTCACTAGATATAAAGCACTGTTAGACACTGATGCTTTAAGGAATAAAAATATACATGAAATTTGGTTCTGTTAAAAGATTTTATAAAGATAATTGGCTTAGTTTGGACTTTCTAAAACGTGAAGGTAACAGTATTAAAATTCAAATAAAAGTGTAGAAGGCAGCCTAACTGATATGGTTCAGTGGACTGAGCATCGTCCCATGGACTGTGAAGTCCCAGTTTGATTCCTGGTCAGGGCACATGCTTGGGTTGCTGGCTCCCTTCCTCTCTAAGAAATCAATAAAATATATATTTAAAAAAAGTATAGAGCCCTGGCCAGTTTTGCTCAATGGTTGGAGCGTCGGCCTGCAGTCCAGAGAGACCCGGGTTCGGTTCCTGCTGAGGGCATGTACCTCGGTTGCAATTTGTCCCCAGCCCCGGTTGGGGTCGTGTGGGTGGCAACCACTTGATGTATCTCTCTCACATCGATGTTTCTCTCTCTCTCTATTCCTCCCTCTCTCCCTCCCGCTCTATCTGAAGATAAATGAAAAAATGTCCTTGGGTGAGGATTAAAAAAGTGTAGAGAGCAAGGCCCTTCAAGTGAAATTCATACAAATTACCTACCTCATAGCAGTACTGCTGAACTTTATGCAAAACTTTGTTTAGGTCCTTGTTCAGCTGTTCAAGCTCTAGAACAATTGTTGCATACCCCCGTTGAAATTCAATGCCAATGGGCATGGAATATGATTTCTGAGAAGAAAAGAATCAGAGTTTGATAAGGTTTTTTTTGAGCAGTGAAATTTCAATGATGTAATAAGAGTTCTGACTTATCTAATACAAATTAAAGGTTTTCAGAATTGTCAATACTCAATGCCATAATTGTTGTGTGTCACAAACATTGTGGGCCCAATCGCCAGTGGGGGGCATGCAAGAGGGGGCAATCAATGTTCTCTCTTATCGATGTTTCTATCTCTCTCTCCCTCACCCTACCTCTCTCTCTAAAGTCAATATAGAGAGAAAAAAAAAAAGCTTAAAATTAGTGAAGGAAAAAGTCACACAAGTCCAGGAAACACAGAGAGTCCCAAGCAAGATGAACCCAAAAAGACCCAAAGCTAGACACATCATAATTAAAATGGCAAACATTAAAGACAAAGAAAGACTCTTAAAGGAAGCAAGAGAGAGACAGAAAGTTACCTACAATGGCATTCCTATTAGAGTGACAGCTGATTTCTCAATAGAAACACTGCAGGCCCGAAGGGAGTGGCATGAAGTATACAAAGTAATGAAGGGCAAGGGTCACTAAATCTAAGACTACTCTATCCAGCAAGGCTATCATTCAAAATTAAAAGAGAAATAAAGAGCTTCACAGGCAAAAAAAAAAAAAAAAAAGCTAAAGGAATTTACCACCACCAAACCAGCACTGCAAGAAATGCTAAAGGAACTGTTGTAAGAAGGAGAAGAAACAGAGAGAGAAAGAGGAACACTGGCATAAAATAAAAATGACAACTAATAAGTTATCTATCAATAATAACCTTAAATGTAAATGATCCAATCAAAAGAAATAGGGTAGCTGATTGAATAAGAAAACATGATCCATATATATGCTGTTTACAAGAGATCCACCTCACAACAAAAGACTTACACAGGATGAAAGTGAAGGGATGGAAAAAATTTTCCAAGCAAATGGAAATGAAAAAAAAAGGTGGTGTAGCAATACTCATATCTGATAAGATAGACTTCAAAACGAGGGTCATAATAAGAGACAAAGAAGGTCACTACATAATATTAAAAGGATGAATCCAACAAGAGGATATAACCCTGTTAAACATATATACACCAAATACAGGAGCACCAAAATATATTTAAAAACTTCTGGAGGATTTCAAGGGAGAGATCAATAGCAATACAATCATAGTGGGTGACTTTAACACCCCATTGACACCACTGGATAGATCTTCTAGACAAAAAATTAACAAGGACACAGAGTCCTTAAATGATGAACTAGATCAGTTGGACTGAATTGATATTTACAAAACATTTCACCCCAAAGCTGCAGAATATACATTCTTCTCAAGTGCACACAGGACATTCTCAAAGATAGATTACATGTCAGGACACAAACTAAGTCTCTACAAGTTCAAGAAGACTGAAATCATATCAAGCATCTTCTTTACAATGGCATGAAACTAGAACTCAATTACAACAAAAACACACAAAAACATTCAAACACTTGGAGGCTAAATAGCATGTTATTAAACAATGAATGGGTTACCAAGGAGATCAAGCAAGAAACTAAATACTTCCTGGAAACCAATGAAAACAACACAGAACAACACAAAATCTATGGGACATAGCAAAAGTAGTCCTGAGAGGGAAGTTCATAGCACTATAGGCCTACCTCAAGAAACTAGAAAAATTCCTAATTGACTTTCTAACCCTACAACTCAAAGAACTAGAAAGTAAACAAAAAGAAAAACCCAGAGCAAGTAGAAGTAAAGACATAGTAGGGATCAGAGCAGAAATAAATGACATAGAAACTAAAAAAATAATACAAAAGATCAATGAAACAAAGAGCTGGTTCTTTGAAAAGATAAACAAGATTGATGAACCCTTAGCCAGACTCACCAAGAAACAAAGAGAGGTCCCAAATAAACAAAATCAGAAATGAAAGAGGAAAAGTAACAACTGACACCACAGAAGTACAAAAGATCATCAAAACATACTATGAACAATCTACACCAACAAATTGGACAATCTAGGCAAAATGGACAAATTTCTAGAAACACAGTCTCCCAAAACTGAACCAAGAAAAGATAGAAAACTTGAACAGACCAATAACAACTAAGAAAATTAAAGATGTAATTAAGAAACTCCCTGCAAACAAAAGCCCAGGCCCAGACGGCTTTACAGGGGAGTTTTACCGAACATTCAAAGTAGATCTAATACCCATTCTCCTCAAACTATTCCAAAAAATCCAAGAAGATGAAAGACATCCAAATTAATTTTATGAGGCCAGCATAATCCTAATTCCAAAACTGGATAAGGGTACTACAAAGAAAGAAAACTACAGGCCAATATCCCTAATGAACACAGATGCCAAAATCTTTAACAATATATTAGCAAATTGAATCCAGCGGATACATCAAAAAAATTATTTATCATGACCAAGTGGGATTCATCCCAGGGATGTAAGGATGGTACAATATTCGCAAATCAATAAATGTGATACACCACATAAACAAAACAAAAGATAAAAACCATATGATCTTACCAACAGATGCTGAAAAAGCATTTGAGAAAATCCAGCACCCATTACTGATAAAAACACACAGCAATATGGGAATAGAGGGATCATATCTCAACATAATAAAGGTCATATATGAAAAACCTACAGCCAACATCATACTCAATGGGCAAAGACTAAAAGCATTTCCCTTAAGAAGAGGAATAAGACAGGAATGCCCACTTACGCCACTCTTATTTAACATAGTACTGGAAGTTTTAACAACAGCAATTAGATATGATGAAAAAATAAAAGGGATCCAAGTTGGAAAGGAGGAAGTGAAACTGTCATTATTTGCAGATGACATGATACTGTACACAGAAAACCCTAAAGTCTCCTTCAAAAATCTACTAGAGCCCTGGCCTAGTAGTTTGGCTCAGCAGTTAGAGCATCGGCACATGGACTGGAGAGACCCGGATTCAGTTCCTGCTAAGGGCATGTACCTAGGTTGCAGTTTGTTCCCGGCCCTGGCTGGGGTCGTGCAGGTGGCAACCAGTCCATGTGTCTCTCTCACATCGATGTTTCTGTCTCTCTCTTCCTCTCTCTCTCCCTCCTGCTCTATCTGAAAATAAATGCAAAAATGTCCTCTGGTGAGGATAAAAAAAAATCTACTAGATTTAATAAATGAATTTGGCAAAGTAGCAGCATACAAAATTAACGTCAAAAAATCAATGACATGCCCTGGCTGATTTGGCTCAGCGGTTAGAGCATTGGCCTGCAGTCCAGAGAGACCCGGGTTCGGTTCCCGCTAAGGGCGCGTACCTCAGTTGCGGTTTGTCCCCGGCCCTGGTTGGTCATGCGGGTGGCAGCCACTTGATGTGTCCCTTCACGTCGATGTTTCTCTCTCTCTCTCTTCCTCTCTCTCCCTCCCACTCTATCTGTACAAAAAATGGAAAAATATCCTCGGGTGAGGATAAAATAAAATTAAATTAAAAAAAAAAAAAATCAATGACATTCTTTTTTTAAAATTTTTTATCCTCACCTGAGGACATTTTTGCATTTATCGTCAGATAGTGTGGGAGAGAGAGAGAGAGGAAGAGAGAGAGAGAAACATGGATGTGCAAGAGACACACTGACTGGCTGCCACCCACACAACCTCGACCAGGGCCAGGGACAAACTGCAACTGAGATAAGTGCCCTTAGCGGGAACCGAACCCAGAACTCTCCGGTCCAAGGGCCGATGCTGTAACTGCTGAGCCAAACTGGCCAGGGCTCGACGGGCATTCTTATACGCCAATGATGAACTCACAGAAAGAGAAACTAGAAAAACAATCCCATTTACCATCACGGCAAAAAAATTAAGATACCTAGGAATAAACTTAACCAAAGAAATAAAAGACCTCTTCACAGAAAACTATAGCTCATTGAAAAAAGAAATAGAGGAAGATACAAAAAAGTAGAAGCATATACCTTGTTCATGGATTGGAAGAATTAACATCATTAAAATGTCCATACTACCCAAAGCAATCTATAGATTCAATGCAATCCCCATCAAAATACCAATGACATATTTCACAGAACTAGAACAAATACCTCAAAAGTTTATATGGAACCAAAAAAAGACCCCGAATAGCCACAGCAATCTTGAAAAAGAAGAATAAAGTAGGAGGGCTCACAATACCAGATATCAGATTATACTACAAAGCCACAGCAATCAAAACAGCCTGTTACTGGCATAAGAACAGGCACATAAATAGGCATATAAATCAATGGAACAGAACAGAGAACCCAGAAATTGATCCAAGACAATATGCTCAATTAATTTTTGACAAAGGAGTCAAGACAGTTTCTTCAATAAATGGTGTTGGGAAAATTAGACAGCTACATGCAAAACAGTGAAGCTAGATCACCAACTTACACCATACAAAAGAATAAACTCAAAATGGATAAAAGACTTAAATGTGACTCGTGAATCCATAAAAATCCTAGAAGAAAACGTAGGCAACAAAATTTCAGATATCATATGCAGTAGAATTTTCACTGATAAAACGCTTGAGGCAAGAGAAAGGAAAAAATGAACACATGGGACCACATCAAACTAAAAAGCTTGTGCACAGCAAGAGAAACAATCATCAAAATGGGAAGGGAACCCACTATATGGGAGAGCATAACTGCCAATGATATGTCAGATAAGGGGCTAATTTCCAAAATATATAGAGTACTCATACAACTCAACAAAAGGAAGACCCCAATTAAAAAATGGGACAGGGCCCTGGCCGGTTTGGCTCAGCGGTTAGAGCGTCGGCCTGCGGTCCGGAGAGACCCGGGTTCGGTTCCCGCTAAGGGCACGTACCTCCGTTGCAGTTTGTCCCCGGCCCTGATTGGTCGTGCGGGTGGCAGCCACTCGATGTGTCCCTTCACGTCGATGTTTCTCTCTCTCTCTCTTCCTCTCTCTCCCTCCCACCCTGTCTGTACAAAAAATGGAAAAATATCCTCGGGTGAGGATTAAAAAAAAAAAAAAATGGGACAGGACCTAAATAGACAACTCTCCAAACAGGACATATAAATGGCCAAGAGACATAAAAAAATGCTCAGCATCACTAATCATCAGAGAGATGCAAATTAAATGTATGAGGTATCACCTGACTGACACCTGCCAGAATGGCTGCCATCAACAAATCACCAAACAACAAGTGCTGGCGAGGGTGTGGAGGAAAGGGGACTCTAGTACACTGTTGGTGAGAATGCAGACTGGTGCAGCCACTATGGAAAACAATATGGTGTTACCTCAAAAAATTAAAAATTGAACTGCCATTTGACCCAGTGATCCCACTTCTAGGAATATATTCTAAGAACCCTGAAACTCCATTCAGAAAGAATATATGTATCCCTATGTTCATAGAAGCACTATTTACAATAGCTAAGATCTGGAAACAGCCCAAGTGTCCATCAATAGATGAGTGGATAAAAAAGCTGTGGTTACATATACACAATGGAATACTATGCAGCTGTAAGAAAGAAAGATCTCTTATCTTTTGAGAGGACATGGAGGGACCTGGAGAGTATTATCCTAAGCAAACAAGCCAATCAAAGAAAGACAAATATCACATGATCTCACTTATTTGTGGAATATAACGAACAAAACACACTGATGAATATACAGACCCAGAGACAGAGAAGTAGGGTACAGACTGACAAACTTCAGAAGGGGGGAGGGGTGGAGGAGGGAAGACATAAACCACAGAACTTATATGCATGTATGCATAACCATGGACATAGACAACAATGCTGGGGATGGGGTGGGGATTGGGAGGAAGGTGTCAATGGGGGAAAAAAGAGAAACATCTGTAACAAAAATAAATTAATAAAATAAGTAAATAAATTTTAAAAATAACATTTATCTCAAGGTTTTTCTTCCACAATGTATTTCAAAATCCTTAGATATAGAAGCCCCAACTATTTTAAAAGTAGAAAAGCAAAGAAAAAATAAAAATATCCTTACCAATTTTTCTGCCTCTGTGTTCATTTCCCTTAATTTCTTGATATGTTCCTTTTTAATCATGAGAATTTTTGATAATCTGGTCTATAGAGAAAGAAGAGATATTTTGGAACAAACAGAGTTATTTAAGTATATCAGTTAGATATCAAATTTCCAATTTTACATGAAAATATTTTAGCAGATTTTATTGTTTTAATATAAATATAGCACAGATTTTTATTTTATAAATCAAATTGGCTGAAAGGAAAACAGTACTTAAAATCCACTGCAGTCTGGCTGGTGTGTCTCAGTGGATTGGGCAACCCCATGGACTGAGAAGACATCCTGGTTCAATTCCCAATCAGAGCATGTGCCGGGGTTGCAGGCTAGATCCCCACCCAGTAGGGGGTGTGCAGAAGGCAGCCAATTGATGTTTCTCTTTCACATGGATGTTTCTGTCTCTCTCCCCGGGAAAAAAAAAAATCAATAAACACACATTATGTATGAATGAATGAATGAATGAATAAATAAATAAAATTCACTACAACTAGGACATATCAAAAGGACTAAGGAGTCCACCTGAATAAGCTTTCACTGGCCCAAAATGGGACAATTTGTGGACCAGTAAGATTAATAACTGCAATGAATTAAAGCACAAATATGTTAAAATACATGAGTTCAACCCTGGCTGGTTTGGCTCAGCAGTTAGAGCGTCAGCCTGTGGACCAAGGAGTCATGAGTTTGATTCCAGGCAAGGGCACGTATCTCAGTTTTGGTTCGTCCTTCCCCAAACCTGGTTGGGGTCTTGCGGGAGGCAACCAATTGATGTGTCTCCCACATTAATGTTTCTCTCTCTCTCCCTCTCCCACACTATCTGAAGATAAAATGGAAAAATATCCTCGGGTGAGGATTTAACAAACAAACAAACAAACAAACAACAACCAAAAAATTCATGAGTTCATATTGATACTTAAACAAAAATTAACTACTGTTAGAGAATGCTAGTTGCCCTGGCCGGTTTGGCTCAGCGGTTGGAGCGTCGGCCTGCGGTACAGAGAGACCCGGGTTCGGTTCCCACTAAGGGCACGTAGCTCGGTTGCAGTTTGTCCCCGGCCCTGGTTGGTCGTGCGGGAGGCAGCCACTCAATGTGTCCCTTCACATCGATGTTTCTCTCTCTCTCTCTTCCTCTCTTCCTCCTGCTCTATCGGAACAAAAAAAATGGAAAAATGTCCTCGGGTGAGGATAAAAAAAAAAAAAAAAAAAAGAGAGAATGCTAGTGACTACACTCATTATTTTATAAAATGGAAAACGAAGAGAAAGAATTGAGCATTTATACTGCCTTTTCTATACATACTATACCATTAGGTAAGCAAATAATAGATGAGGGTAACTTTTTCTTTATAGAATTCTTTCAGCTAATTAAGAAGAAATGATAGAATGAGAATAACACCATTTTACAATCCTAATGAATGACGGATCTAGGTATTGATAAACAGTGCCTGCTAGCATTATATTAAAAAAGAGATAAAATAGTATGTCTCCTTTTAGAGCACAAAACCACCTATAAAAGTAGTCACACAAAAACAAGTAAACCAGCCTGGCCGGTGTGGCTCAGTGGTTGAGCAATGATCCATGTACCAAGAGGTTGCCAGTTTAATTCCTGGTCAGGGCACATGCCCAGGTTGTGGGCCAAATCCACAGTCGGGGGGCATGCTGGAGGCAACCAATCGTTCTTCTTTCTCTTTGATGTTTCTATCTCTCCCTCTCCTTTCTTCTCTTAAAAAAAAAAAAAAAAAAAAAAATCAATAAAGAAAAAAAATTAAAACAAAAAAAAACCCAAGTAAACCAACCAAATGAAAAACCCAAATCTAATCAAAACTCTATATCCAATGAGAAATTTACATGAAATGCAAAAGACAGAAGAACACATGGACAATACCACAAGGATTCAGTCAGCAAAATCCAGACTGTGGGAGACGGTATGGACAAATAATCCAGTTTCTTCAACAAACAGGTTGTATGGGGAAACACAGCATCCAACATTTAAGAGACAACTATAAAATTTAAACGTTGACTGAGTATCTGGTACTATTAAGATATTTTTAGCCCAGCCCTGGCCGGTTTGGCTCAGCGGTTAGAGCGTCGGCCTGCGGTCCGGAGAGACCCGGGTTCAGTTCCCGCTAAGGGCACGTACTTCGGTTGCAGTTTGTCCCCGGCCCTGGTTGGTTGTGTGGGTGGCAGCCACTCGATGTGTCCCTTCACGTCGATGTTTCTCTCTCTCTCCCTTCCTCTCTCTCTCCCTCCCACTCTATCTGTACAAAAAAATGGAAAATATCCTCGGGTGAGGATAAAAAACAAACAAACAAAAAAAAGATATTTTTAGCCCAGCCGGTGTGGCTCAGTGGTTGAGTGTTGACCCATGAACTAAGAGGTCGCCAGTTTGATTCCCGGTCAGGGCACATGCCCAGGTTGTGGGCCAAATCCCCAGAGGGGGAGGGGGCATGCAGGAGGCGGCCAATCGATGTTCTCTCTCATTGATGTTTCTATATCTCTCTCCTTCTCCCTTCCTCTCTCTCTAAAAATCAATAAAGGGAAACAAATTTTTTTAAAAAAGATATTTTTGTTAACTTTTTAGATGTAACAATGGTACTATGTTTCTTTTTTAGAAAAGAGATTTTATCTCTTAGAAATACATAATAAAATATTTTCAGATAAATGATGTCTGGTATTTGCTTCCAAATAACACAAAGAGAGAAAGTAGGTGGGAGTAAAGATGAAATAGGACAGCCCTGGCCAGTTTGGCTCAGCAGTTGGAGCATCGGCCCACGGACCAGAGAGTCCCAGGTTCAGTTCCCGCTAAGGGCACATACCTCGGTTGCAGTTTGTCCCTAGCCCCAGCTGGGGTTGTGCAGGTGGCAACCACTCGGTATGTCTCTCTCATATCGATGTTCCCCTCTCTCTCTCTCTCCCCCGTCCCCACCCCACTCTGTCTAAAGATAAATGCAAAAATGTCCTCAGGTGAGGATTAAAAAAAAAAAGATGACATAGGACAGCCCAGCCAGTGTGCCTCAGTGGTTGAGTGTCAATCCATGCACTGAGAGGTCGCCGGTTTGATTCCTGGTCAGGGCACATACCTGGGTTGCAGGTTTGATCCCTGGTCAGGGTATATACAGAAGGCAACCAATTGATGTTTTTCTCTCACATAGATGTTTCTCTCTCCCCTCTCCCTTCCTTTCTCTCTTAAATAAATAAATAACTTAATTCATTTAATATTTAAAATAAATAAATAAAAATAAGAAAGTGGATCAGTCTTATTTAGACTCCTCCAAATCCCTAATTCCAGGAATAAAAAGGTCCCTCAAAAAGAAAATCCATTGTAAACTATGAATTATAAAACTTGCAAAAAAATTTTAATGTTGTTTATTTTGTCATAAGAAAAAATATTAGAAACAGGAAAAAAAAGAACATATCTAGCCTGGCTGCTGTGGCTCAGTGAATTGACCACCGTTCCATGGACTGAGAGGTCCCAGTTCCATTCTTGGTCTGGGCACTTGCCCAGGTTGTGAGCTTGATCCCCAGCAGGGGGCGTGCAGGAGGCAGCAGACTGATGTTTCTAACATCGATGTTTCAATCTCTCTCTCCCTTCTCTCTCTAAAAAAATCAATAGAAGTATATTTTAAAAATCCATCTACATAAGTCAAAACTTAATATTAACAAAAATAAACCAGTTTTATATTACTTTTCATATTACAAAAGGCAAACACATAAAATAACTCTTATTTTTACCTCTCATATAGCTTAAAATATTAATGAAAGTAGCATTTTTAACTTGGCTTTACACAGATTTTGAAGTTAAAAAATTAAGCACTAAAATCAAAAGTATCAACACTCTGAAAGCAGTACAGTAGTACTTAGTGTCTGGCTCCCTCTGCTGGTGGATCGATCTCCCTTTCTCTCTCTCCCTCTCTGTCTCTCCAAATACGAATTAGCTTTATTTTCACTTTCACTAAAGAAAACATGTCTTTAAAAAACAAGTGAACAAGTGTCCTATTTGTGAAAAGCATAAACTTTGGCTCTTTTCTTTTTATTTTTTTTATTCGTCACCTGAGGATATTTTCCTACTTATTATCAGATAAGAGTGGGAGAGAGAGAGAGACAGAGAAACATTGATGTGACACAGCCACATCGACTGGTTGCCAACCGCATGACCCCACCATGGCCGGGAACAAACTGCAACTGAGGTACATCCCCTTGACCAAATCGAACCCACGACTCATTGGTCCATGGGCCGATGCTTAACTGCTTTCCATATAAAAATAACTTATCTACCTTTGGAAGCCAAAAGGCATAATAAAATTTTATATCACAAGGAACTTTAACATGTGATTGAGGAATACAAAATGCTATACACATGTACACAAATGACAAAACTTTTCATCGAAATAACATCAACTGAAAAAGGTAACACTAAATAGTTTAATGGATTACACTATATAACATAATATACATATATACAAATTTTTTATGTATAAAGACTATCCCAAGCCAAAGTGGTTTTCTTTTAAAAAAAAATAAATAAATAAAACATATCAAATATTATTAGACTATGATTCAAACTAAATAATTTATTTAACCTAAAAACAAATGACTCATTACATTCTTAAAAATAGGGCTATTTGGGAAAACTGTTCTATATAATAAACCAATACGATGACAAAAAATTAAATATTTGGTTCTAAAAAAACTTTCAACTTAAATAACACAAAAGACATTGATTTTTTTACAGTCAAGATATTCAGAAAAATTCTTACCACTTGAATAAGGAATTCTACTGGAAAACCACCTAATGTTTCAGTGTCGGAGCCTGAAATCTTACTTCTCCAAGGTGACTGTCCTAATAAAGGATCATTATCCTATGGAAATAAAAAGGAATCATTTAACCACTAACTGTTCAAAAAGAAGTATCTTGTATTTCAATAAGAGTAAATTCTATTAAAATTAATATTATATTAAAAATCCTACAAAAAATATTTCTAGAGCTGAAGCAAATATTTACTTATTTTATTTAAAATCTGACAACTGAAAATGTGGGCACTTCCTGAAGTTGCTGTAATAGATGTGTATTTCATAAAAACATAGTTCACACAGATAATAATCATTTAAATTACTGATGACATTTAAAAAATGTTACCGTAGTCGGTGCTGGGAGAAGAGGAGGATAATGTAACCGTGGTGGAGTCATAAAAAATCGAGAAGGCCGCTGTTTCTGTCCAAAGGCAGCAATTGGCATTGTCTCATGAGGCTCATTACTCTTTGGGAAAAGAGAAAAGTCCACAAGACTTGTAGAACTTTGCCAGTCATTTTAGCCTTATAAACATTATATTTCTGCATGATATACACTAGCTCATGTGCTTATTTTTCAGGGAATGTATTATTCTACAAAGATCAAAGGGCTAGAACTTAAATTAGAGTATGAAAACACTACTTTGCTACCAAAAGATTGAACCCACAAAACAAAAGAATTAAGAAAAGAGAAAAGACCAATAAAAGATCAAAATAGAGGATCAAAGATATTGATAGTGTGTTAAAGACTATCCGAATGTTACCTACTGTAATTACAGTAAAGTCAACTCTTTAGCCAGAGAGAAAAACTTAGTTGCTCTCATAAAGGAAATTGCATTGAATAAATAGAAAGCAAATTTCTTTTTTTGAAACGAGAGGTTGAAAGATTTCATCCTTTAATGAAAAAACTTGGTGTACTTTGCTCTATATTTAGTTCAAATTTTCTTTCTCTCTTATTTGTCCTCTCTAAAAATTATGTTTGATAAGAAAACCCTCACAATAAACAGAGTCATACTTTTTAAAGTATACACCAGAAAATGAAGATTCTTCTATTTATGCGTACAAAGGAGATAAAAAAATTTTGATTTTTAATTGTAAGTTCATAAACTTTAAAAATCAAGTTTAGCCCTGGCCAGTTTGGCTCAGCGGTTAGAGCATCGGCCTGTGGACCAGAGAGACCCAGGTTCGTTCGGTTCCCGCTAACGGCGCATGCCTCAGTTGCAGTTTGTCCCTGGCCCTGGTTGGGTCGTGCGGGTGGCAACCACTCGATGTGTACCTTTCACGTCGATGTTTCTCTCTCTCTCTCTTCTCTCTCTCCCTCCCACTCTATCTGAACAAAAAATGGAAAAATGTCCTCGGGTGGGGATAAAAAAAAAAAATCAAGTTTAAACAAAGAAATGAAAAAAGGGAGGCTAAAGGTGAACAATTTAATTTAAATAATGTTAAGAGGCAAAAATTTTGTTATAAAATTGCCTTGGCCAGGTGGCTCAGTTGGTTGGAGCATTGTTCTATACACCAACAGGCTGCAGGTTCCAATTCCTGATGAAGGCACATACCTATGTTGTGGGTTTGATCTTCAGTAGGGGTGTATACAGGAGGCAACCGATTGATGCTTCTCTCTCACATTGATGATTTTCTCTCCTCTTTCTCCTGCCCAGCTGGTATAGCTCACCAGGTTGAGCATTGTCCCATGCACCAGGAGGTCGCTGGTTCAATTCCCAGTCAGGGAACATGCCTGGATTACTGGCTCAGGGGGTGTGCAGGAAGCAGCCAATTGATGTTTCTCTCCCACATTGATGTTTCTCTCTCTAAAAAAATCAATAAAAACATATTAAAAAAAAAGTTTTGTCACATTGTAGCAATTTATTAAATCTTTTTCTTTTTTAATCCTCATCCGAGGATAATTTTTCCATTAATTTTCAGAGAGAGTAGAAGGGGAGGTAGGGGAGAGAGAGAGAGAAACATCAATGTGAGAGAGACACACTGACTGGCTGCTCCCCCATGACCCTGACTGGGGCAGGGAATCGAACCTGCAACCAGGTATATGCCCTTGACCGGAATCGAACCCGTGACCCTTCAGTCTGTGGGCCAATGCTCTAACCACTGAGCAAAATCAGCCAGAGCAATTCTTAACATTATTTTAACTTATTAGAAAGGTATATAATTTTTATGATCATGCTTTGCTAAATTAAGCATGATCATAAAATAATGACCCAGTAGTTTAATGCATTGTATCAGAAATTCAAAAGATCTGAATTCTAGTCTCAGGTTGCCAAAAAACCAGCTCTAGAATCTTGACTAAATTACTTAAAGTAATTTGTAATTACCAATGTCTCAGTTTAATCATATAAAAAGTGGAGGTAATTAATACCTACCCTATATAATTCTGAAGATAAAACAGGAGAGCAAGTTTTTTTTTAATGTTTTTATTGATTTTTTTTTTTTTTTTTTTTTTGATAGGAAGGGAGAGAGAGATAGAAACGTCAATGTGAGAGAGATACATCAATCAGCTGCCTCCTGCACGTGCCCTACTAGGGACTGAGCCCTGACTGGAAATTGAACCAGGACCTCTCAGTCCATGGGACAATGCTCAATCCTCTGAGCTACGCTGGCTGAGCAGGAGAACAAATTTTAAAGTGCGAGATGTTACTTTAAAAATTATTTTATGCCCTGGCCAGTTTGACTCAGTGCTTAGAGTGTCAGCCCATGGACTGAAGAGTCACGGGTTCAATTCCAGTCAAGGGCATGTACCTCGGTTTCAGTTCGGTCCGGGCTCTGGTCGGGGTGGTGCGGGAGGCAGCCAATCGATATATCTCTCTTACGCTGACGTTTCTCTCTCTTTCTCTCTTTCCCTCCCTCCCTCTCTGTCTGAAAATAAATGGAAAAATATTCTCTGGTGAGGATTAAAAAAGAAAAAATTATTTTGCGAGAGAACTATAACAGAACAGCTGGAATGAAAGTGTTGTGTATCTTATTCCCCAAGATTATCTAGTCAGAAGTGATCAGTTCTATCACACTAAAGTGCTATGTGGTTAGAGTACAATAAAGAAATGCTAGTCTCAAAAATGTAGCAGATTTAAGTATAGATCTGCCCCACGGGTCCAGCTGGCAGACTTGGAACACCTAAGGATCTTCTCCTCTATGAAAATTCGATATAACATACTCAATAGCCATAATATATAAATATTTTATGAAATACTTACAAGAACTTCATAGTCAGGGATAGTATGGGTTCCAAGCCCTGCTCTATCAAAAGTTACTCTATAAGTAGCATTATAAGTATCCACAGCCTCTATTTGTCCAGTGAACAGACCATCATGAACACCACGTAATCGTGCTGAGAAAGAACCAAAAAAGGAATTATATCTGTAAGATACAAAGTACTATCAAATATAAAACCAAAAATTGCTCCAAACATGTAATTTAAAACGTAGAAAGTACAGTATTATTGTCTATTATAGTTTCAAAAAAAATTACATACTTTATTTTCAGTTTAGAGAAATAAAAAATTGAAACAAAAACTATAAATGACAATCCCTATTTTGATATATGAATGAAATCACATATCTACCAACCTAAAACCAAAATATTTTAAAATCATTGCTTTGGTCATCATGCTAATGAGTGAAACGACAGGTACAGTTCAACTTAAAAAAAAAAAAAAAAAGACAGGAATGCTGTGAAGAAAAGAATGAATATACTAAGCCTGGGACTGCTATCCTTAGAAAGACCTGCCTGCAAGGTTGGCATCTGGAAACTTGACTTTCAAGGGTGTTCTCATACTAATCAAGGTGGTTTCCTATGCCTAGAATGTTTGTGAAAATGATGTTTTATGATGTATACCTGCTTTCCTTTGGGAATCTGGAATTCCGGTATTTGCTATGCAAGGGTACCCATGTGACTAGCCCCCAATAAAACCTTGGGTACTGAATCTCTAACAAGTTATTTTGGTAGACAACACCTCAAGTGTTATTATAACTTGTTGTTGGGGGTATTAAGCAAGTCATGTGTCACACTACAGGAAGTGGATTCTTGGAAGCTTTCACTTGTTTCCTCTGGACTTTCCCCCATGCACCTTTTCCCTTTGCTAATTTTGCTTTATCCTTCTCTGTACTAAGCCGAGGCCATGAGTGCTGAGCACTCTGAATCCTTCTAGTGAATCACCGAATTTGGCGGTAGTCTTGGGGACCCCCTCACACAAATGAATTTTTGTGTCACTATTATTTAAAACTAGTTTCAAATAACACCAAGAAAATCCAAGCAAATAACCAGCAATGAGTGAAAAATTTAAGAATAGCATTAAACTAGGCAAAGTGACACATTTTATATGAACAAAAAAGTATAATACAGCCCTGGCCGGTTTGGCTCAGCGGTTAGAGCGTCGGCCTGCAGTCCGGAGAGACCTGGGTTCGGTTCCCGCTAAGGGCACGTACTTGGGTTGCAGTTTGTCCCCGGCCCTGGTTGGTCGTGAGGGTGGCAGCCACTCGATGTGTCCCTTCATGTCGATGTTTCGCTCTCTCTCTCCCTTCCTCTCTCTCCCTCCCTCTCTATCTGTACAAAAAAATGGAAAAATATCCTCGGGTGAGGATAAAAAAAATAAAAATAAAATGTAAAAAAAAAAGTATAATACACAATATCATTTTAATAGAATACAAGTGTTCAATGTAAAACTTTAAGAAGAATCAACTGATTTAAAAAACAATTGTAGGAGCTTAAATTATTCTCAGTCTTTGACAAATCAAAGAAGGGAAAAGTAAACAGGTATACAGAAGATATAATAAAGAAAGTTGAAAAACAAGCATAAATATAGAAAAGGACTTCCAGTTATGACAGCACAAAGAGCTTCGTGATTCTTCTCTGCAAAAGCATGTATGTACCTATACAAGATTGTCAATGACAATCACTTCAGGGTGTGGAAATGGATCAAATGCAGAAAACAATTAAGAAACATTCAGAACTTAATGTTTACATTCAGAGTTGATCGAGCTTACAAGTAAGGTCAGGGGAAGTCATTTGCATTTACACCCCACCATCACCACCAACTTGGTTGGTGAAAACGGTTTAGCTAGAGTAATGGTTGGTCATGAAAACCAGCAGTGTTGTTGCCATTGGGGGTAGATCAGATGTGGGTAAAAACCTGTGACTATGGCAGTTAAAAATGGTGAACTAAATCAGGAAAGAGTTAAGAAAAACCCATAGCTTTTGGGGCAGTCCTGACTGAGATGAGCAGAACAGCCAGGGATTTAACAGGGAGATCCTGGAAACTAGAAAGCCATAAAAGGGCTGAAGAAAGCTGCCCATAAATCCTGGGCTAACTGAAAACTTTGTGGATGGGTGGGGAATACCTATGAGAATCTGGTAAAAAGTAAAAACTAAGGCTCTCTTTCCTCTAGAAAACAGTCCCTGATTAATCCAAGCATTTCTCAAACCCATTCAATACAATTACTAACCTACCTACTCCCTTAACACCTTGCTATTTCTTATACTACATAAGTTGTGATTTTAGTTCACCAAATTCTTGAAGACTCATTTAAATTTGGTTTTGGTTATACTTTCCCTCCATGTTATAACTGAATATACAGAATCACATCTATAAATTGACAAAATTTATAACCTTACAAAATTTGGGGGCAAACTGAATAATTTAGTTTTATTGAGTCATTAGAAATTATCCAAGGATCATAACAACAATGGTTTGTAGACTACACAAAAAAGACAGTTTAGAAAAGGAAAAAAAATAGAACAATTTAAAATTTTTAAATTTTATCAGTTCACAGATGAAGAAACAATCTCTACAGCATATTGCTATAGAACTATAGTTTAAGCTTTCTAAATTTAAAAGCCATTTCTCTAATAGAGGTTATTTTGGAGAAAAATATTAATAAGCTTATCTTCACTAACCTGTAACTTTGGTGCCAATAACCAGGGGCAAAGGAATCTCATCTGGGAGATCTTTGAATTGTGAAAGATCTGCAACTTTCCTTTGTTGTAAGAGCCGGATTTTCTGCCGTTTCTGTTTTAATGCTGATCTCTCTTCCTCAAAAAATGCAGAAGAACATCTAGAATAAATTACAAGAATAATATAAAATGATAACATCCTCCCCAAAAATTTCAAATCAGACCATCCATCTCATTGTTCTCTTTCTTCCTCTCATTCTTGAGTACTGTATTTAAAAACAGATTCACAGAGCCCGGCTGGTGTGGCTCAGTGGTTGAGCATCAAACCATGTATCAAGAGGTCACCGATTTCATTCCCGGTCAGGTTCATGCCCAGGTTGTGAGCTGGATCCCTGGAGGGGGGCATGCGGGAGAGAATCGATGTTCTCTATCATAGATGTTTCTATCTCTCTCTCCCTCGCCCTTCCCCTCTCTCTAAAAAATAAATAAATAAATAATAAAAATAAAAACAGGTTCATAGACATAACTGTTTCCTTTTATTAAATTACATCTTTTAAAAACAGGGCCTTGCAAGATTCAGACACATATAACCAAGTATAGATTATTACTTCTTACAAAGCTGAAGGATTTGTTCACATTCTTTGACAAAATTGTAGCTGGATTCCAGGTCTTCTCTTAAGGACAAAGTTCAATTTTAATATTCTATTCAGAAGAACATGACATTTTCTTGGTCACCCAGTGAGCATACTAATATAGGAATTAAAGATTAGATGTGCCCCTGTGTAAACTTTTAATTATTCATCCTGCCCTGAAGCATGAATATTGAATTTACTCTAATCTTTAGGGCCCGTCTTACTTCTATTTTCAAATTCTATGATGAACCAAAGGTATTTAAATGCAGGTTTCATGCCACAAAATATATACCCCTAAAACCATCACCACAGTAGAGATGAAATATGAAGACACCGATTACACCTAAAGTTTTTTTGTGCTACTTTATTATTCCTATTTTAAATTCCTCCTACATCTGCCCTGGCCAGTTTGGCTCAGCGGTTGAGTGTTGGCCTGCGGACCAGAGTGTCCTGGGTTCGGTTCCCACTAGGGGGCACATACCACAAAAAAACAAAAACAAAAACAATAAATTCCTCCCACATCTATACTCCCACTTCCCAAGCAATCACTGAGTTGCTTTCATCATTTCTATCTTCTAAAATTTTATATAAATGACATAATCTAGTATGTATTCTTTCGTCAGACTTTCTTTTAAAAAAAATTTTTTTCCTTTATTGATTTTAAGAGAGAGAGGAAGTGAAAGGGAGAGATAGAAACATTGATGAGAGAGAACATTGATCGGCCACCTCCCACATGCCCCCCACTGGGGGTCGAGCCCACAATCTGGGCATGTGTCCTGGCCGGGAATCGAACCAGTGACCTCTTGATACATGGGTCAATGCTCAACCATTGAGCCACACCGGCCGGACGGCTTCTTTCTTTTTTTAAAAAATATGTTTTTACTGATTTTAGAAAGAGAGGAAGGGGGAGGGAGAAACATCGATGTGAGAGATAAACATTGATCGGTTTCTTCCATGTGCCCTGAGAATTGAACCAGTAACCTTTTGGTGCACAGATCATCTGATGCTCAAACAAGTGAGCCACACCAGCAAGGGCCAGGCTTCTTTCATTCAACACAGTTATTCTACGATTCATCCATGTTGTCATGTATCAGTGGTTCATTCCTTTTACTGGAAAACAGTATTCTATGGATTCATCATAATTTGTTTATCCATTCACCTGTTGGTGCATGTTTGGGTTATTTCCAGGTTTCCAGTTTGGGGCTATTAAACAAAGTTGATATAAACATTTGTACACAGGTTTTTGTATAAAAATATACTTTTACTTCTCTTAAATGAATACAGTACCAAGGAGTGAAATGATTGGGTCATATGATCAGTGTATATTTAACATTTTAAGAAACCAAAGAAGCCAAATATCACCAAAGAAGATATATAGATGGCAAATAAGTATATGAAAAGATGTTCCACATATGTCATTAGGGAAATGCAAATGAAACAAGGCACCACTACGTACCTACTAGAATGGCTAAAATCTGAAACACTGACACCACCAAATGCTGACAAGGATGTGGAGCAACAGGAACTCTCATTCATTACTGGTGGGAATGCAATATGGTACAGCCACTCTGGAAGATAGTTTAGTGGTTTCTTATAAAACTAAATCATATGACCCAGCAATCACATTCCTTGTTACTTACACAAATGAGCTGAAAACTTATGTCCACACTAAAATCTGCACATGGATGTTTATAGCAGCTTTATTTCTAATTATCAAAACTTGGAAGTAACTAAGATGTCCTTCAATGGTACATCCAGATAACAAAATATTATTCAGTGCCAAAAAAATGTGCTATCAAGCAATGAAAAGACATGGAGTAATCTTAAATACATATTACTAAGTGAAAGAAGTCAATCTGAAAAGGTTACATACTGTCTGATTCCAATATATGACATTAGAAAATGCAAAACTATGGAGATGATAGAAAGATCAGTGGTTGCCAGGAGTTGGATGGAGGGGGGGAAGGAAAAATAGGTACAGCACAGAGGATTTTTAGGGCAGTGACACTACTTTGTATGATATGATAATGGTGGGTATATGTCATTATATATTTGTCAAACTCACAGAATGTACACCACCAAGAACGAACCCTAATGTAAACTATGGACTTTGGGTGATTATGGTATGTTCATGCAGGTCCATCATTTGTCATAAATGTACCACTGTGGGGGAAGATGCTGATAACTGGAAGGCTATGCCTGTGTGAAGGCAAAGGGGTATATGAGAAATCTCTATACCTTCCTCTCAATTTTGTTGTAAATCTCAATCTGCCCTAAAAAAATTAAGTCCTAACAAAAAAAACAAGAAACTGCCAAACAGTTTTCCAAAGTGGTTGTACCATTTTCTATTCCTATCAGCAGTGTATAAGAGTTCATGTTACCCCACATCCTCACCAACACTTAATATGCTTAGTCTTAAAATTTTTAGCTATTTGAGGTACCATATTTTAATGAATCATTCCCCTATTAATGGATATTTATGCTGTTGCCAATCTTTTGCTACTACAAGCAATACTGCAATAAATAACTCTGAACATGTCATTTCACCCCAGTACAAGTATTTCTGTGATATAAATTGGTAGAATTATTAGGTCAAAGGGTATGGAAATTAGTAAATTTGATAGATGTTACCAAATTGCACTCCACAAAGATTATATAAATTTAAATTTTCACCAGCAACTATTTCACCACACCATTGCCAATGCAATATAGAAAAGCTTTATGAACTTTGTCAATTTGATAGTTAAAAAACAGTATCTCGGCATGCTTTGATTTTGCATTTCTCATTATGAGTGAGATTGAATTCCTTTCATTTATTTAGAAGAGTCATTTCTTTTTCCTTTCCTATAATCTCTTTGTAATCATTTTTATTATGGGTTATTTGACTTTTTCATATTGATTCAAAGGAGTTCTTTACACATTAGGGAATTAGCTCGTTGTGACAGAAGTTGCAAATATTTCTTTCAACCTTGTTTATGGATGTTTGAGGGGAACAAAGCAAAATGCTATTTTTATGAAGTCAAATTTACTGTTATTTTCTTTTATGGTTCCTAATGATGGAGCCTATGAGAAAGACCTTTTCCAATTCAAGATTAAGCAAAACTCTCCTATAAGTTCCTCTAGTAGTTTCATTTTTATTTTTTACCTATTTTTTATTTCTTTTTTTTTTCCCTTTATTGATTTTAGAGAGAGAGAGGAAGTGAGAGGGAGTGACAGAAACATCGATGAGAGAGAACATCGACTGGCCACCTCCTGCATGCCCCCCACTGAGGTTCAGGCCCACAACCTGGGCATGTGCCCCAACCAGGAATCGAACCAGCAACCTCTTAGTACATGGGTCGACGCTCAACCACTGAGCCACACTGGCCGGCCTACCTATTTATTTTTAACTTATCTTTATTGTTGAATGTACTACAGATGTCCCTCCTTTTTCCCCTACTCATCTTTCTCTCCCCTCCCACCCCACTCCTGTCTTCTCCACACTACTGTCTGTGTCCACTGGTTATGTATATATGCATATAAGTTCTTTGGTTTATCTCTTCTCACCCCCCACTTCCCTCGAGGCTTGTCAGTTTGACAACCGATTTGTACTTCTTAATCCCTTCACCTTTTCAGCCATTCCTCCAACCTCCCTCCCATCTGTCAACCAACAAAAAGTCTTCTGGATCTATGAGTCTGTTTCTGTTCTGCCTGTTTAATTTGTTTGTAGATTCAAGTATGTATTTATTGTCATTTTAATGTTCTTTTTTAAAAACATTTTTTTCTTTATTATTTTAGAGAGAGAGAAAGGGAGAGGGAGAGAGAAACATCAATGAGAGAGAACATCAACTGGCCACCCCCTGCATGCCCCCCACTGGAGATTGGGCCCACAAGCTGGGCAGGTGCCCTGACCAGAAATCAAACCAGCAATCTTTTGGTGCATGGGCCTATGCTCAACCACTGAGCCACACTGACTGGGCTAGTGTTCATATTTTTTATCTTTTTCTTCAAGAAGACCCTTTAACATTTCATATAATACTGGTTTGATGGTGATGAACTCCTTTAGCTTTTCCTTGTCTGGGAAAACCTTTATATGACCATCGATTCTAAATGATAGCTTTGCAGGATAATCTTGGTTGTAGGTTCTTGCTTTTCATCACTTTGAATATTTCTTGCTACTCCCTTCTGGCCTGCAAAGTTTCCTTAGAGAAATCAGATGACAGTCTTATGGGAGCTCCCTTGTAGGTAACTGCTTTTCTCTTGCTGCTTTTCAGATTCTTTGTCTTTGACTTTTTGCATTTTGATTATAATGTGTCTTGGTGTGGGCCTCTTGGGGTTCATCTTGTTTGGGACTCTCTGTGTTTCCTGGACTTGTATGTCTATTTCCTTTACCAAGTTACCTGAGAATATTTTTCTATTTATCCTCAGATAGAATGAGAGGGAGGGGTAGAGACAGTGAGAAACATCAATGTGAGAGAGGAACATCCACTGCTTGCCTCCCACAGGACCCCAACCAGGGCCGGTGATGAACCGCAACCAAGGTATGTGCC